GCATATGGGTAAGTATTCTACCTCAGCTCCAACAACTAGCGCGGTCATGCTACAGACCACGCATGTGACTGCGCTAGAAGCACGGCCGTGCTAGAGGCCGTGCATATAGGCAAGTGTTCTGCCTGGACTAGCGCGACCGCGCTCGTACCTCTAGAGACCGCGCTAGTCCAGCGTAACTGACGCATCTTTTTATTAACTTGCAATAAGTTTCTTTTGTTATTTTAGTATATTAGTTAGTCTAAATCCCCCCTCCTATGTAATTCCCAATTCCTCTTCATTCCCAAATCCTCCCAACACTTAACAAAAACAAACGACCCTAAAAATCCTAACCCCCCCTTCTTCAAGAACTCAATCTTCTTCATCTCCCATCTTCTTCAGATTTCCAACCCACCTTCCCCAAACTTCAAGTCACGTTCTCCCCTACTCTTTTTCAATTCTCCTCATATTCTCACTACAGGTATGTTTTCTTTGTGCCATTTTTATTATATATATATATATATATTTTAGATTTCGTTTTCTTTTCTTTTTGTGTTTCTTTTCGCTTCTTAGTAGAAATTTTAGCATATGTTGTAGTGATTGTGGGTGGTAAGGTTGGTGGAGTTGTAGCTTGATGTAGTTTGTGATTTTGGGAACATTGTGGTGGTTGTGGGGTGGTAACATGTTTGAAATGGGGTGTGCGTGCATAATGCCCATAAGGTATTTGTGTAAATGCCTCAGTGAATGTAATTGTGTAATTGTAACCCATTGTGCATGTGAAGTTTGAGTAACCGCATTGCGTCACAATTTTGTTTTGGGCTGTGCTAATGATGTTCCGTTTTCCAAGTACTATGGCTCTACCTAAGAAACGCCGCACCACAGCTACCTGTTTTAGCAGTCAAGCTAGATCGTCCAGGGCGTGCGGGTCAGCGCCTACTCATCCCTTCGATAGTAGCAGGTTTGTATCTACCAAGGCTCAAGACCGCTTTACGGATAAGGCCCCTAAAAAGCTGATCTCAGAAATGGGCATTGATATAGGATCGGTCCAGCTGGGCTGCCCTCATATGTATATAGAGCTGGTGAGGCGAGGGTTACAAACTTTCATCGATGAGCCGGCCGAGGGGAATGTGATGGTCGTCCGAGAGTTTTACGCCAATGTGAAAGAGCATGTCAATGGCGTGGTCACTGTGCGCCGAAAGGCGGTGGATGCCTTTGTTGAGGCTATACGGATGATGTACCAGCTGCCCCCTCCTCTAGATCCTTATGATGACTATTATGAGGGGTATGGTCGATCACACACGTAGTGGGCGAGGTTCTTTGAAACAATTTGTGTACCCGAAAAAGAGATTGTTTGGACGAAGTATGGTCGGAAGTTTCATTCCTCGTCGCTAACCTTTGAAGGGAAGTGCTGGTTGTATCTTACCAACAACCATCTAATCCCGTCCTCCAACACTACGGAGGTGAATGGCCCTCGAGCGACTCTGATTTGGTGCTTCATTAATGGTCACAACTTTGATGTGGCCAAAGTAATTCATGAGGAGATGTTCACCTATTGTCCAATAAAAAGGTATGGGTTCTTTTTTCCTTCGTTGGTTACTAAACTTTGCCGGGCGGCTCGGGTGCCAGAAAATTTGGATGTTGATGGGAGAGTGCCAAAAGACCACAAGTTCCGAGCTGACAAGGTCACTACTGGTAAGGAGCCGATGGCAGCATGTGGTGATGCTAGTGGTGATTCTGATGACTCTGAGGAAGCGGAGGCTGAGCAGGAGGATGCGGAGGCCAAGCCACAAACCCATGAGCAAATTGCAGCAGCTGCAACACAATTTGGGACTACAACACCATCTGGGGCAGCTCAGGTTACCCGGTTCACAGCTTTGGAGCAGGAGGTGGCTGGATTGCGTACCTCGGTCACTGACTTGGGTACCCATGTTGACGCGGCGACTGACAGGCAGGTGAAGTCGGAGAAAACAAATATTGGGCTAGTTGAGAGCTCTGGGTCGTGCTTGCAATTTGAACCTAGACATTGTCTCCGATCAAGAGTGATCTTTCAGGGAAGTTCCTTTACCTCACTGTTTGTTATTTTGTATGCCATGGGGACACGACTTCACTTTGAGTGTGGGGTGAGGGTTACTTCAATGTATATATGTATATGTAACAATTTGACTGATTAGTGTTTCTTCGTTTCTTCTTGATTGTTTTTGGTGTTTTGAGTAATAGTACATTAGGTACGCTTAAGGTAGGTAAGTTAACTTGAAAAAAAAAGAGGAATATGAGGACTCTTCCTGATGACGGATCTTTTAGACAGTCTTCTTGAGGGAAGTAAGTCTAAAGAAAATACCAAAAAGATTTCATATTTTTCTTGTTTTGCTTTAGGTAGTGTAGTAACTCCCCCCTGGTTTTTCTTTGAGCCACGGTTCTTTTCCAAGGGTTTATCTTGAACCAGGTGTAGTTAGTTTTTGTTTATTTTGATTTTAGTTTTTAGTTAGTATTGATGGGCTATGAGCTGAAATAGAAAGAGAAACCCTTGGCGTTGATACACCTAAACACAGTAGACACTAGAGTGTAATGCTTAGTCTCAGTAGTTGATTCTTGCTAAAGTGCCTTAAATTATATGTTTGTAACTGACTTAAATACTTAAAAGAGAGTGTCTAGATAAGCCAATCTGGAGTGAGTCATATGCCATGTGTGTATGAGTTGTACTGTATTCTATGCTTTACATTCGATGCCCAGAACTTGCCCCGTGTGTTTGCAAAGCGAAATAGTAGTTTCATTCAATCCTAGAAGTGATATAGGCATTTCTTTGTTGAGCCAGATATATAAAGTATACCCACCTAAATATAATACATCGTAGTCAACCCCGTTGAGTCTTTAAGCCTGTTTCTTTGGCAACCACATTGCAAACCCTACCCAATTATTTGAATGGACATCTGTTTGAACCCCGTTACCTCTTGTAAGCACTTGAATGGTAGTAAAATATTCAAAAGCTAAAGTGTGGGGTGGTGGTTTAGTTTTTGAGTGGAACCGATGAAATAGAGGAAAGATGCAGTTGTTTGGAAAAGTAAAAGAATAAGCACCACTAAAGAGTAAATGTAATAGTTGATAAGTGGTGATTTGATACAATTGCACCTAATGAAATGAGATGTTATAAATAAAAATCTGGTGGAATGTCTGGACTCTGGTTGACATAAGTAGGTTTTGAAGGTTAATGCGATTGTATTAAAAGTGCTTAGGGAGGTTAGTCACTATATCCAAATATATCCTACAAGTCCCCTAGTCTACATTACAACCAAGTAAAGTCCTAATTGATCTTCGACTGAATGGGCTCGATTAGTAGAGTAGTACACTACGGGCAAGCCTATGGTGCGTCTTTGTGGCATGTGAATGTTCTTTTTGATAGTGAGCGGATTTTCTTCATCGAAGTTCCTAATTGTTCTTAATATTAATATTTGCGGAACTACTCTCTTGTGTGATGTGAGGGCATGTGATTCACGAAGGAAAGGTAAGTCTTGACTGATGTATAGAGTAATTTGAGTAAGTACGAATATTTCACGGCACATGAGAGTCGATTTTTGAGGCAAAGATTGTTCACTACTAGGCGTAACTTTGATGATTTGTTCTTGGTGTGATACGTTAGGGGAAAAGACTTAGCGAAGGGACCTTTGTAGAGTGTGATGGATTGCTCGAGGACAAGCAATGATTTAAGTGTGGGGTGTTGATAATAGGCTAGATTTATGTAATTTGGCGAATGTTTATGCCCCAGCTTGACTAGGTTTAACTGTTGTAGGATAGTTAAATGATGGTAAACTGGCTCTAATTGTGAATTTCATGTTTTGCAGGAGCGAGTTACACGTGTGAGGACTTAGAACTGTAATTGGAGCTAGATTGAAGCAAGGGAAGCCCCTCGAAACTGAGTACATGGGAAGAAGAGAGAAAGAAGGGCTGAAATGAGGACCCAGACTAGTGCGACCGCGCTAGCCCAGGAATTTGAGGCAGAATGGTAGGCCATATGCGCAGTCATTAGCGCGCCCACTAGCGCGACCGCGCTAGTCCAACTCCGGAAAAATGAATTTCAGGGGTAAACTTGGAAGTTTGGGGGCAATTCCACAAAACCTAAAAGAGGTCCAGCTCGCCTAAAGGAGGATTATCAAGATTTGGATAGCTGAGTTCAAGGAAGGAGAAGCAAGAGGCAAGAAGGACACTTCAACATATAGTTCTTTATTTCTCCCTTTTGTATTTTACCATTTGTGATGAATTTGGCTATTGTTATGATGAACACTAATACGAGTAGCTAAATATTTAGTCCAAGGTTTTGATGGACCCTATTGAAGGATGAACTTCTTGTTATGTTAATATAGATTGCTTGGTTTAATCTCTATTTGTGTCAACTGCGTTCTTGTTGTAGTTAATTGATAGGATCCTCAATTAGCTGTGCCTATTTAGTATGCATAACTCAGGAGAGAGTGCATATTTAGGTAATTGTTGAACAACACCACTCCCGAAGTATATGAGGGATCAATAACCGAGGGTTTAAAGGCATGATTAGGGATACCGAAGCCTTGGGTGCAATCTAAAGTGAGCTGTAATAAACAAAGCCAGCTAGCGTAACGTGGGAGAGTGCGTCTAGTAAATTGTCGTAATTACTCAGGAGAGATTTACGATAATAAGAGTGCTCATGATTGATATAGCGATTAGGCGAATCTATGTGAAACATAACCGAAAGGGATTCCATCAATAGGGAAAATCACAACCTTAGATCCTTCTCTTAATTGTTTACAACTTAATCATAGTTAGTCTTTATTTACTTAATTGCAGTCTGTCATAGTTAGTAAAAATATCCTCAATTGTTATTCAAAACGTTTTGGAAGTTGATTACGTAGAATTAAGTGAGTCTGACAAGAGTAATTGATAGGTTAATTCCTTATGGGTTCGACTCTGGGCGAAATACTCAGATTATATTTGCAACGACCGTTTGTCCTTTTTAATAAGGCGTAGTTGGCGTGATCAGTGCTGTAATATCTGCATTATCAGTTGTAGATATAGTGTTTGTCATGTTCCTTTGGCTCTCCCTTTGAGAAATAAGTTGAAATTGAGCTAGTGCCCTGCCTATCAGTGGTAATTTCTCTGTGGATCTGAAATATCCTAGAACAATCCACCTTATCAAAACGCTCCTTCAGATCATCCTATACCGCACTAGCATTTGAGGAATACACCATGCCACTCAATAATTTTGGTGAAACACAGTTCATCAACCAAGACAATACAATCGCATTACAACACTCCCAGAGATCAACGAGATTCGTACTATAATTCTCCCTTTTGCATGTGCCGTCAATGAAACCTAGCTTATTTCAACCTAGGATTGCAATCCTCATTGCCCGACTCCACATGGAGTAATTTTCCGATCCTCTCAATTGCAACGAAATCAATATAGCTCCTGAATTATCATTTGAATTCAGGAAAGTGGATGATTGTGACCTAATTTCTCTAGTTCGGTGTTATCGAGAGTCGCCATTGTTGATCTTCCAAATTAGTTTTGAGAGAACAGAATTGAGGACGATGAGACTACATTAATGGCCGTGTGGCTCTGATACCATGTTAAAATTAGTGGATTGTGTCTGTGTAGTTAGTGAATTAAGATTGAGCATTTATCAATGGAGGTTTGGATACAGAAGAACAGAGACGAGAGAAGAAGACTTAGAGAAGAAGAGGGAAATGAACGCTTAGCTTCTCATTCCACTTGCACATGCTTATATACAATTACAATCTAAAATCCAGCTAAGTGACAACTGTCATTCCTTAACTAACCTACTAACTCTTTTAGCAATAATTAACCACCTTGCTAACTACCTAGCTAAGTGACAACTGTCATTTCTTAACTAACCTACTAACTCTTTTAGCAATAATTAACCACCTTGCTAACTGCCTAACTACAGTATAACTAACAATTGCAACTATAGTTAGTTAACTCACGTTACTCCTATTTCATCAGTAGGCTCGCAATCTTTTCAGCTACTAATGTGGTACTTTGTTCGCACAATCAATACAATAATTAATAGGAATACTATTTAATTTAGTTCAAAAATGTCATTTGCAGTATTTTGATTCTTTTGGCCTGGGGGTGGTAAAATGTGCAATAAACTAATTCAGAATTGTGCAAGCTTGTCTTTGATTTCCTAGTGCATTTATAGGACGATCCAAAACTAGGGATATTGCATAAGAGATGAAGCTTCTTTAGACAAAAACTAAAATATTTGTAGCAGCAAATAGGATAGTAATGTCAGTAGTTTTCAAAGTAATGTCAGCAGCAAATTGGATCGTCCGACTGTGTATATTATTTTGACAGGATAATTGAATAAGAGACGTACTGCAGTAGTAGTAAGAACCAGTGGCACTTTCTTCAAGAAAATTTAATTTCATTAACTTGGAATGTCTGTGTAACGGACAAACGTTTCGCATATTCGGAAAATTTTAATTAAACACACGGTGTGGTGTCATAAATATACAGATATTTATCAAATGTAATATAGCTCGAAAAAATGACATTGTATAGTCACTAAAGATGAATATATATACATTCTGAATATTATATATAAAAATTATACAAATTTTATATATTTTTCGACTATCAAATATAAATAGTTTATGACGTAGGCTAAAAGTGATAATAGCCCAAATAGCTCTCATCAATTTGACCTCCCAGGCCCGCACTGCCCTCCATTTATCAGGAAAACAAAGCAAAGATTTTCCAATTAAGGCTAAACCAAAAGGAAGGAATAAGGGTCTTAAACGAAGAGATAAACTATTAAAGACAGGCGGATTCAGGATTTGATTTATGGGTTCAGTCTTATAGATTGCCAGCAATGAATTTATTATATTTTAAAATTATAGGTTCATATTTATTACTATAATTTTAGTGTATCTTTACAAATAAATTTTGTGTAACGATTAGAGTATTGGTTTAGTTGAACGTCGTAGTGTATCGTGGGATTCGCCGAACGATGTAACCTAGTAGTCAATGAGGTGTATGAAGAACATTGAGATCTCAGGTTCAAATCTTAGTGGAGACAAAAATATTAGATTATTTCTTCTCATGTGTCGACGCAAATCGAAACATTAATAAATGATATAGTACTAATTCGAAAACATTGATAAATGATAGTAGTAAATGATACTTACCAGTAAACTGAAGATGCAACCGAGGCCAATGGTAACGAAACGACCCAGATATGAATCAGCAACAAAAGCACCAATTAAAGGCAAGAAATTAGTAGCTGCTGACCAGAAAAATAGTAAATTTTGAGCAGTAGTGATCCCCATCCTGTAATCTTTCATGAGATACTTGGTCATATTGGGTAAAAGCCCATAGCTTGCAGTGCTCTCCAATGCCTCATTTGCTGTTAAAAAAAGCCCAAAATTAACTAAATCTATACCCAGAAACAAAGAAGTAAAACAAAAAAAGATGACCAGAATTTGGTTGGAAATGAATAGTACCGATAATAAAAGGCATAGTTATAATGCCACCCTTTTTTCTTCTATTAATTGGAACATTTAAAGAAATATCATGTGGATATTTTTGCTGCTGCTGATGATGATCTTCCATTTTAATAATTGTTTGATGTAAAGGAATCAGCTCTTTCATCTCCCGCTGCTCCATATCTTCCACAATTACTTAAGATTAAGCTGCTGATGAGGAAAGTAATTAAACTCAAAGCAAAAGGAAATTGTGAATTCAAGTGATTGGATATATCTAAAATCAGACAACTGAAGGTTGCATACAGTTACTTTTTTGCAAATACAACAAAAGCCATGACTATCTTCCTTTTCCCTCTCTCTAGTCTCCCTCAATCATATATTTATAGGCATATAAAAGTTACCGATTAGAATAATTTCGCCTTCTGTAGGAGTTTATGGTCCAAAAAAGCAGCTTCTGCCCTCTGTATGTTACGTAGCATTTATTTTGTTTTTTTAACCTCCGGTACCTATACTGTGGTCCTATTAAATTTAGTTTTCCCCATAATATATTGGTAGTGTTTCGTAACAAAGGACGACTTCATATCTAAGATTCAAACTTGAAATCTCTAATTAAAAATGAAGGAGTACTTATCGCTCTATCATAAACCTTGTTGGTGGTACGTTAGAGGTGACAGTGGACTTGAAAACGGAATGATGTGATGTCTTTAATAAATTTAGATTTGCGTCGGAAAGTCTCACATTTAAGAGTAAAACGTTCCTTAATTAAGACAATTTCATATTCAAAATTCAAATCTAAAATCTCTAATTAAGAATGAACGAGTATTAATCATACTATCACAACCTTGGTGAAATGGAAACTCTTTGACTCATGAGCTCAGCTTCCACCCTTAAGTAATCATATTAGAAAATTATATATATATATATATATATATATATATATAAATTCCTATTATAAATATCTGTTTTGATAATTGACGGTTTAGAAAGATATTAAAAAACTATTTATTATTTTTTGGGAAACTTATTTTTAATAACTTCATTAGGAGAGTGTTATTTAAGTAAATATTTAAGGAGAAACTAAGAATAATTATACGGATACTTATATAACATCAACATCGTACTCAGTGTTTTAAAAGGCGTTTTCGGGACGAGGCGCATTAAAAATGCCCCGAGGCGATGGTGTGGGACGAAAGTCTCAAGAGGCGTATGCTATGCTCGGGCGTTTGAGGCGCGTTTTTGTACTGAGGCATAAGCTCCAGAGACCTTTTCAAACTAAAACAAAATTTGTTGACTAAGTCCTTCATATAATACCCAAATTCTCAAAAGTCAGCTTGTAATTACTCAAAAATTTTAAAAAGGAACTGAAGTGTATTAAATTTAAAAGTCAAGACCTTTTTATCGATTGAAGCCCTAATTTATGGTCTTTCCCAATTCTTTATCTTATCCGCTAGTTTGCTAATATCTCCCAAAAACAAAGAATATTCAATTTCTTTTTACAAATATAAAGAGAACTCCATTCTCGTTCATAGTAACAAGTTCAAAGTTCAAATTGCAGGTTACTCATCCTTTTTGTTCCTCCATGTAGAAAACTTTATTCTTTTAGACTCAAGTTACTTGTGCTTGTAAGTAATGTATAATAAATTGTTTTGACTAGTTTTTTGTGGGGATGGAGTATGTGTATATATATATTTCACACATTTATAGTTTTCTTTAATTTCTATGCAATTTTACATGTTTATAAATATTTACAGTAATTATATTATTTTATAAAGTATTACTCCCTCTGTTCCAGTTTATGTGAACCTATTTCCATTTTGGTCTGTCCCAAAAACAATGATCGCTTTCTAAATTTGGTAACAATTTAGCTTAAACTTACAATTCTGCCCTTAATGAGAAGCTTTTATAACCACACAAATACTCTGGGGCCTTTTTTGACTTGTTTAGGACCACAAATTCTAAAAGTCTTCATTTTTTCTTAAACTCTGTGCCCAGTCAAACAGGTTCACATAAATTGGAACGGAGAGAGTAAAAATTAAATACCCATGGGGCTTACGCCCCATGCCTCGGGACTTATGCCTTGCTGAGGCATATTATCACGACCTGGATTTTTCACCCTCGGGAGTCGTGATGGCGCCTACTAGTGAGAGCTAGGCAAGCCGACAATTATAAATTTTATTATCCTTTTTCCTTATCTTTTAACAATTTCACTATTTAACATCCGATCAACAGCGAAATAAAAAAATGCGGAAGACGAAATTCAATAATTTAACTAAATACTAGTACGAAATCTAAAATACAACTCCACCCAGATCTGGTGTCACAATGTCACAGACCATCTATGAATACTACAAATAGGGTCTGAACAAAGAAAAATATAAGTCTATCTCTGAAATAAATAAGAACAGAATGGAAAGGATAAAAGGGGACGTTAAGGCCTGCAGACGTCTGGAGGACTACCTTGGGTCTCCGCTGGACTGAAGGTAGCAACCTCGCTATGGTCCAAAAGCTCCAGTACCGGGATCTCCATACAGCGAAGAGTGTAGTATCAGCACAACCGACCCCATGTGCTAGTAAGTGTTGAGCCTAACCTAGGCGAAGTAGTGACGAGGCTAGGACAAGACAACCAAATAAACCTGTGCAGTTAAATCATATACGACAAATAATGATAATAGAAACTAGTTGTTAAAGATGGGAAGGGGGAACATGCTGCGGGGAATATAAGTACTAACAGAATTTCAGTAGAGAAGCACCAAGAACACCATAATTTCATATCAGCAAGAATAAGGAAAACAGTAAAAAGTGCACGGCATCACCCTTAGTGCTTTTACTCTCGTTATTACCATAAGAATCAATATTCACTATTATTCTTTCTTGTTGTGGCATTCAACCCGATCCCAATCATTTAATACTGTTGCGGCGTGCAACCCGATCCCAATCACATAATGATGTTACGGCGTGCAACCCGACCCCACCTGTCTACCCTTATTACTCCTTGTTGCGGCGTGCAACCCGATCCCATATAATATTGTTGCGGGCTGCAACCCGATCCCAATATACAAATCAATACCAATCACAAAAGAATCCCGACAAGGGAACAATAGTATAACGACAATATCCCGACAAGGAAAAAATAATATCATAAGCGATAACATCCCTGTAAGGGAAACAATATCATAAACAATAACATCCTGACAAGGGAATCAACAATATATCTCACCTCGTTTCCACAATCACTTCACGACATAAGTCTCAACTTGAGCCAATGCTCAACAATGGTCAATTACCAAGAATACTTTCATAAGCCTTGTTCAACATTTATAATCATCATATTAAGCATGGACAATACATAACAGATTCACCACAATCATAGTATAAGACTCACAGGCATGCTTGACACCAACGTATAGATACTCGTCACCACACCTATACGTCGTACTCAATGTGAGCACGTGATTTTTGTATTACACGACAATCACTCCAAAAGAAACAAAAAATAGCGATCGGTCTTGCTGTACAATTTTCGGATCTTTCACGTGGCATTTTGTTANTTTAAATATTTTAATATATGTGTGCAAATAATTGTATTAAGTGTTTATTTAATTTTAATTTGATTTACTTAGGTTTTGTTTTAAAATAAAAAAAATAATAATAAGAGAGTGCAGAATTGGGTTGAAAATCAGTATTGGGCTTATTTTCATTTTAATTCGAGGCCCAAACTCAAACCTAAAACCCCATGTGTAACCCGGTCCACACCAGCNCAGCTGACACCCAGAGCGTCCAAACGACGTCGTAGTGACCTAGTCTGATCTAGGCCGTTGATCTCAGATTGATCAACGGCCAAGATCACTTCCCTATTAACCCATGAACAAACCCGATCCATTCCGCTCGGACCGACCCAACCCCCTTAGGTCTAAAACGACACCGTTTCCCGTTAGTTGAAGGATCCTGGCCCTTCAACGTGCCTCATCCAACGGCTGAGATCAATCCACCCATTCCATATATAAGCCTCCTACCATACCCTGCCCCCCTATCTAATACCCCAGCCTTCGTCCTCATCCCTTTCCCCACGNAATTGAAGTGTTTCTCATTTGAGAAACACTTCGATTAAAGTCCGTTCAACCTTGAGAAGGGTCTGTTCAAACACAAGTTGATTTTTCTGTTTCTTCTTTCAAAGTTTTTAAGGTAAGTTTGTTTTCTCTTTGTTATTCAGTACGTGTGTGTTTTAAAGGTCTGTTCGTATGGCCGAATGTTTTGTGTAATTTGTGTTTTGAATTTTACCAACTGTTTTCTCACACCTTGCCTGGACCTCTGTATTTGATCAAGTGCGTCCTTATTCACTGATAATGTGTGTGTATGTGAACTGCATAATTGATTGATTTGAAATTGTTTGAGTAATCAATCCCCAAGTTAACCTCTGTATTGACATGTGCAATCTGACCCCTTGTTGATACTGTTTGATTCTAAACCTTGGCTTTGATTGTACATGTTATGATTAGTATAGTCGAGTCGACATATGTCGTCAATTAGTTTCAATTGTCCGAACAATAACCAATTGACCTGCTTCTGTTAAGCATTGCCTGAATCAATTAGGAACTGAGTTTAGTTACTTATAGTTGTTTAATTTGATTTCAGAAATCTAAGGTTTGGTCTGTAATTGCAATCTGAATTGATGGCATGTGCACTTGTGCACAACATGTGCATAAAGGCCCTTTTTGAATTAAAATAGTTTGACAGCATATGCTGTCAGATTACATTCTGCTGCCCATACTCTGCTTTAGTTTCGGAAATAATAAACCTTACTCAAAAGTAAGTCTGCCAGGGAATATCATGGGGGTGTTTTTTTTAATACTAAGTGGAAACTGAAAAGAAAATAGCACATGGGAGGGGTGTTCTAATTGTCTAACAGGCTGTTAAAGGGCTGAATTTAGGTTTATAAAAGGGAGAACTTCCATCAGTTGAGGGAGGAGAACATAGATAGAGAGAGAGAACTAAGAAGAGGGAGAGCTGAAGTTTTGAGAAAGAGATACACACATACAGAAAGAGAGGGACACACATAGGGAGATAAAACATTGAGAGCTGAGTTCTAAAAAAAACAGAAAACTGGAAAAGAATTCTTTTGATAATACAGACAGACAAAACTAGAGATTGTATTCTTCATTGCTGTCTTGATTTCACTGGTCTTGACCTGTTTGTTCAATACTGATTTCGTCTAAATCCCAACTGAGTCTGTTGGCTGTTTGTTGGTTTACTCTGGGACTTGGTCTAGTTGGGATCTTGATTCTACTCCAATTGTTTCGCTTGTTGCTGCTGCTGCTATTCTATTTTTTGCTGCTGCTGATTTCCCTATCTTCT